TTTTAAGGTTTAAATTTTTTTCCTGTGATTGTTTTTAATGATGGAAGATTTGTTTAATTCCAATTTCATTCATGATTTGAGAGATCATAAGTCTACTATGGTTAGATATAATAGATTAAGCAACTCCATTGTTACAGAATTTCTGGCAATTTTGCTGAAAGTTTCCAGTAGATTCAATAGTGATGGTGAAGGAAATGAACTGTACTGAAGAGAGTTCAAATTGCTGTTCTGTATCAGCACTCCTTGTGAGTGTTTGGTAAATTAATCTGTCCTTTGCTGCTCTTCATCTTTGAGCCGTGAAAGTTTGGGTGATTTTGGAAATAGGGAACAGCAGAAGGTACTGAAACCTCGCCCCATCATGATGGAGTGATCCTTTTCCATAAGGATCCATGTCCCTATTTTTACAAGGGCTTAGAAAAGATCTAGTTTTTGAATAACCAAATTTGAGACACATTTAAAAAGCCAAGAATTTCAAAGGTCAAGGAAATATGAAGTATTTCATTTATTATTTTGTGCCATTTTCAGTACATTGAGATGTTAGGGATGGAGTGACAACCCTCCATCTCAATTTTCTTTGTTTTGTCTGTTTTTGTGTCAACTTTAATGGTAATCAGATAATGACGGAAGGACAATTATTAGTTTATATTTCAGGAAATCATGCTATATGGAAAAAACAATCAGAAACAAAGAATTAAAGCAATGCATCTCAGAATGGATTCAGGGCATAGATCAAAACAATTCTCTTATCAAATTTAGAATTCTCTTCTCTTTTAAAAGGGATTCAGCTTTCACCATAGTACTATTATTACTATTTATTTCAAAGGATAGCTATAGATATGTGTGACTGCACACAATATCTCGATCAGATTTGGCCTTTAGAAACAGCCTTTTTGGGAGTAACTCCTGGAAACAAGACTTTTATGTGGAGCTCCCTGAGGTGGCACCCAGGCAATGTGATAGCAGCAGTAACATTCATAGGAGCAGATGGAACACTGCACTGGTGGGCTCTTTGATGACCAGTTATTTTTTTTGCTTGGGGTTTAATTATTAAGTAAGATTCAGGGGACATGAAATCTTGTTTCCAGCCATATGATTCCTGCCAACACATAAGTTGTTTCCTGGTCATTTAATGACCAAACACCAGTGGAATATTAGAAACTTTGCTAATTAAGCCCAAGCCAACTTCATCAACAAAACATTAACAGTTTAACACAGTTAAGTAAGAGCTTTAATTTTTATCCACATTCTTACCTGACTTTCATTCTGGGAACATGGCACAGTGTTTGGCTGAGCATCTATTAATAAAGTATTTAGATAAGTAAGATGAGGGAGGGTACCAGAATGGGAAAGAACAGGCCAGGGGATGCTTCCCCATTCTCTTAGTACTCCATAGTTTCAGGCAGGAGAATCAGTTCCTGAAACGTTTAGTTGTCTTCTATATCTAAATCAAGATAGATTATGGCCTTTTATCAAATGGCCTCTAGATACTTTGTGTAATAAAGCTGTGTTAATATGGCTTGGCTTCTTAGCCCAAAAAACACCTACAAGCAATGAACACTTAAGGTAGTTACATTAATCAAGATTCAGTTAGAAGTCTTTTAGAATTCTGGCTTTTGTGCTTACTTTGAGAATTGATCAGTAGACACTTTTTGAAAAGTCTGATCAGGAAACATAACTCTTCAAATTAAGCAATATACAAGTTTACTAGTTAATAATATTTTAAGAATGAAACATAATGTATTTTATATCCCACTTGATTGTTACAATCTGTGTCAATGTGGGCAAATGCAAACCCCGGGGTATACAAGAATCTGTGAGAACTTTGCTTAGTGACCACTTAAAATCACATCCATGGAACTAAAATTTTCTTTTTATAAGTTTCCTGGGCCAGCTGTCACTAGAACAGTCCCAAGAAAGTTAAGGTTTTAGAGCCAACATTAGGAAAAGGTTTAAAAAGTTGCTACAAAAATGGTAAGGCTTGAACTTCAGAACAGTTAAAGCCCCAAGTTTTCAGGCTTTCAGTGAGTTTACTTACACTGTGCATTTCCCACCCATATATTGGATTTTATATTGATGTAAACAGCTCTAGAAATGCATGGGATAATAGAACTGCATTCAGAAATAGCAGAGAAAAAGAAAGTTCTTGCCTGAATGTATTTCCCTTGAAATTAGCTAACCCACACATAACTGCTAGAAGTAAATGAAAAATGGGCAAGAAAAAAATTGTATTCTGCACTGCTAAAAATGACAATTGAGTATAGATGGAGCAGCTCATCGTCACAAAGTTTTCAGCAGGAGGCTAACTTGCCAACCCAGGTCAGAGCTTTGTTTGGAACTGCCAGGCAGGAATGCTGCTAATTTTAAGCAGTCTCAGAGAGTTTCTTGGCTGGCTGTCAAGGATCTATGGCAACTGGCTAAGTCTGCACCTGCAACTGTGCAAGAAGGACCATCCATCGTTCTGAAAGACATGCAGTAAATTTCTTTAGGGTGGGAGCAAGTGTAAACTACTATGTAGTGTGTACATTAATTTTTGCAGGGGACCTCTTCTGAGACTGCAACTGATTCTAAAATCCAGAGAACAAGCTGGTCTCTCAAATAGTCTTGTAGCCTCTAAAATCACACTATGACAGAGCTCTTACAAGCCTTAGTAGTTAAGATCAGTTTTTATTGACACAGGATAGAAATCGTGGAATTATGTATATGTAGAGTGGCAAGGTCTTGTGTGAAACTGGAGAACCAGGGATACTAACTACAGATGCATAAAAGAGAGCTGTGTTGATTTTGTTTAACCCCTGATAAAACTTGTGCAGGAAGAGTTACCATGGAAACAATGTCCAAATCAGGCTAGCATGAACTAAAGGCTGAGATAACACAATCCCATTTTTAGCACTCCAAAACAGAGAAAACATCATGATCACACTGAAGATAGAAAAAATAAAATTTCAAGCTGCATAATATGCTAGTAGGTCAACAGCTGAAAGTAAAGAATGCTAGTACGAAGAGCATTTACCAAGCATGCCTCTATTTGCAAAATAAAATATCAAAATATAACAGTAAGAACAGAAGTCTCTATCCTGTTCAAACTGTAGTTCTGAAATCAAAATATGATTTTCATACAACATGTATTTTTTTACCTTTCGGCACACAGTGGCCAGAAATGCATTTTCCAGCTGTTTGTTCAGAAACTGTGTCTTTTCTCCTCCAGTTCTGAAAAACTCTGCAGGATCCTCTCCAAATATTTATCATTATAGACTGACTATGCTGGATCAAAATAAGATGCCACTCCCTCTTACATATAAAGGGTGGAAATCAATAGAACATGACTTTAAAAACCAGCAGTACCTCTAGTAGAACCTACTTTACAACCTCAAAGAGGATGTGGGAAGTGCCACAGAAAAGTAACACTGAAGATCTATGACTATGAGGTGTCTGCTGTGGCCATGGGAACACGTAGAGAATCTGAAAAGAGACCAGAGAGGGGCAGTAAGCCAGTGGACCAAAAGTATACTTAGTACTTGGCAAAGGACTCCTACTTGTTTTCTCTTCTCCTCAGATGGACTTCCAATGTACCTCACTTCTGCCTAACCCAGATATTACCAGGTGCTGTACAATCATTGCCAGGCCTAAGGAGCCTGCCACTCTTGCCTCTTCTTCCCCAATGATGCAAGTATTTTTTTTAGAGACAAAACTGTGGGAAATTATATTCTTTCAAAAGTAATGCAAACAAATATTTCAAAGAGGATGTTCAGTGTAATTGACTGGGCAAGAACCATAAAAACCTAGGGGTCTTGGAACCTCACTGACACCGGAGTAGCCTATTTGCAATTCTACAGCAGGCACAACATAAAAGATCACTTCCATCTTGTCTAGGTAGCAGCATATGTTTTCTCATAAGAAATGTGAAGGTTAGTCAGGCAAAGTATCTCTGTCAACAGATTCTTTGTGAAGAGCAGATTGAATATTTCATGGGGACATTTTCCTGACAGATTTGTTGTCAGTTTTGGCTTCCTGCCCTAAAGATGCTTCTTTGATCGAACAGGAATGTCATTGTTCTGAATAGCCACACTCTGGGTTAGAATCTCTTCATTGAACATTATACCTGCTATGGATATTTAACTGTTGCCACTTATTATCAGCTACTCTGCTACCCTATAAATTGGTTCTACGCTGCATTTAGGACTGAAGTTTAACTGTGGAGTGTGAAAGACAGGCATAACAAAAACAGTAATTTGTCAGACAAATGATTCAACCATAAAAGTGTAATGGTATTCAAGGAATTGTGTTTTCCCTACTTAACAATGAAAATCCATGAATATCAGCTTAGCTGTCTTCACGACTGTTGCTGTCTGAATAGATCTACTGTATACAGTTCCTGGTATTCAGTAGTAGTGAATACTGGTAAAAAAAGTTTAATGCTTTACTGAATTTTCCTTCATTAGGTTTACTCTCAAAAGCTGCTGATGTGAATGTAAGAACATAAAATATTACCTAAATTTTTGCCAGAACAACCTTTTACACATTACTATATGGATCAAAATCAGAGTATGGTGAATCTACAGTGTCCTGAAATATTTTAAATTTTAAATTTTTAAAATATTTGAATTCCAGGGAGAAACAAACACTACCTCTAGCAAGTTTAACAAAGCACTTTTCTAAGGTGATAAAATAATCCACAGACCAGGTTGTTCACACAGTTTAAAACATGGCATCTCAGAAAATATATATTAAGAGATAATACACATATATATATGCATGCCTCAAAGGCAATAAAGTAGCTTAATGTTGGAACAAGTCTTCACAGACAGATGTGAAGCCATGGAAGTGTGAGACATATATCTTCTAGTTACACATGAGAATGTGGGGGTTAATGCACAGAGAAGTTTTGCTGCCCAGCTGGATTCTCAAGCCAACAAGGGACCCTAATGTACCCAGCGTTACCAAGTGAAATGCCAATGAATAATGAGGTGGTGCTGTCTCATGTAAGAAACGAAGTTAATTACCTTTCTCTATTTCACTTTGGAAGGACAATTTCCGTCTTCGTAGTTTGCAGTTATCTCCATCTGTATCATTGGTAGTTTGTGATCTTATTACGAGGTCAGACTTGATAAATGAAATATGGAACAGAATGACAGATTAGTCCCATCTAAAGAGGGAGATTTGCAATAGGTGATTGACTGTTAATCATGTTCAAGCTTTAAAAAAGGCAATATTAAAGTCAGTCTGCATCTGCCTCTCCATCACCGGCTAATGAATGGAAGTGCCCAGGGCTAATATTAAAAAAGTTTATGCAAATTGAGCAAAACCAACACTGTCATCACCTAATGGTGAAATAAAATTATACGGATAATAAGTTTACATGGAAATACATGTGTTCATGTGTTATCAACTTCTCTGAACTTGCACAGATCTGGTTTACATAACCTTATACAAATTAATGAAAAAAATAAAATAACCTCTAACAGAGAATGTATACTATTTCAAGAAATAAAGTGGTAATTAATTGAAATTATATTTATATTTAACTTATGGTAATTATTATAAAGGTTACAGTTTGCAGTGATTATTAAGGTTATGTTTTACAATAAATATAAGCCTAACAAGTATCAGGCACTTTACCTCCTTTCCTCCCTTCCTCTTCATCAGATATAGAGCATTCAGATACTTATTTCTGTACCAGAACACAGTGTTGGTTTTTTCTATCCATTTTAAGAAGATTGCAGTGCTTTTTTTACCAGTAGGTAAAATATGCATTTAACTCTTGTTTTTTCTACTTTAAGAAATTTACAAATTAGCAAATATAACACCAGTTTTGCTCTGCATACCTACTTCCATTCCCTGTACTAGTGAGGTCTCCCATACCACTCAAGTAAGCAGATTTGCATGTGGGAGAAAGGCAGAGGGGAGCTGGGAAGCATTTACATCTTTCTCTTTCCCTTCACTTTAAACCTGGCAAGTAATATGCTTCAGTGGTGGCCCACTGGTAGAATAACTGCAGGAAGAAAAAGGTACTTTGATACAAACAAGAGGGCAGGAGCAGAAGTTGAAGCAGAAGCACCTATTATTCTGATAACAAATTTAGATCTGAGTGATGTTTTGAAAATGAGAATATGATCAATGATTCTTTTGGGGGATTAGTTTCTGGATTGCAATAGACAGTGGAAAGTAAGTGGAATTGCTAGAGAAAAACTGTGATTTTGCAAGCTCAGAAGCATGGCTGAGCCTCTCCTGCCTTCCTTGTCTCTGATCGAAGGAAAAAATAATGATAAAACATGACAATGTAATTTCAAGATATAATTACTCAGACTTAGATCATTAATGCGAAATTATCCTCAAGAAATTTTTCAAATATATGGACATTCAGTTTTAACTTAAATTTATCACTAGACTATACATTAATTGTGTTTTGTTTTACATGTAATTAATAATTATTACCTTTTCAATACATACAACAGCATGACTGAAAAAAAGAATATAATTGGTCTTTTATTTTCAGAATATTTTATTAAAAAATGGTCATAATAGAAAGAAGTGACATTCCTTATTAGAAGCTGCATTTTTTATAATTTTTTAAAAAAATAAGTATCCACACCTGATTCGCAAAGATGTCCTTATGATTTACAGCCCAAAACTTAGTGTTCTTTTCTCCTTTTTTCTTAGAAGGCCTTTGAGGCCAAATTATGTTAGTTCCTTCTCACCAAATCTCTGTTTTTCTTTTAGGAAGCCACAAAATGGCATTATCAACAAAATAATGAAATGAAAATCAGTCATTCTGTGGGCAGTGTAGTCCCTGCCCAGTGGCCAGGGCTGGGGTACCCGCAATCTTCTGGGGAAGCCTTTAGCCTCAGCAGCACAAGAGAGAATTTCCCCACTCCCCCTTTAACCAAATGTCCACTTGCTTTCCCAAGTCAGAGTAATCCTATCAATCTAAAATTAGGAAACATTAGTCATATTTTGACTTTCCTGAAGATCTAATTTGTGCAAAAGGACAAATTAGGACAGTCACTGTGGGAAAAAGAGACCAAGAAATGCCTGCAAATCTGAAGAATGAGTGAAAGTTGAAAAGTCCCTTGTAAGTTTTTAGTCCCCTAGGAGGTAGAGTGCATACCAAGATAAGGGAATTAACAGTTCATATTTGAAAGGCAATTAAATGTTTTCTATTGCTAGACACAGAAGGAATCTGGATTATCTGATTTATCCTTATTTTATGGATGTACAATTACATTTAGTGTCAAAAGTACCCCTTGTGGTGACCTAGGCTGTAGTCATCTAATAAAACCATATTTTCCATGGCTTTAACAAAATCCCCCTGGGTGAAGCCTTAATACTATTTAAATATAGAACCAAATCCTGTTAGATTAACATCATCGGAATAATTTCATTCACTTCTGCTGAGTTTAACTGACTTCAGTAGAAGCCATCAGGAGAGAATATTTTTTTAATACAGCATTTCAGCTTTTAATTATGTTAACCTTAGTTTTTCAAATACTATTTTCAAGTTTTGTTACTATGGGACAGATTTGGCCCAATATTAAGAAATAAAAATAACTTATTATATGTACCTTTGTGGTTTCATCTCTCAGGTTAAAAGTTAGCTCCAGATTGGTGAGGAAGAGATCAGAAAATTCAGGGTACATATCCAAAACTTCTAGTAGATCTTCTCTCTGGATCTTATGTAAGTCACAGTAAGTTAAAGCTCTCACATCTGCATTTGACTTTCCTGGTTTTGCATAAAGATGTACCATCTCTCCAAAAATATCATTTTTCCCTGCAGAAAGAAAATTAAACAGAGGTTATTATTTTAAACATGAATAAGCCATTACACTGAATGGTGCATTTCTTTATGACACAGGCGTAGAATACTTGCTTTTACATGAAGTGATACAGTCAGATTCCCATTGCACATATATAAAGAAAAAGCAGTATTATTAAGTATTAAAAGTGAAACGATTAAGATCCATGAAAATACATGTAACTGAACTAAGTGAATGTTTCATCACAATTTTTCTTCAGTTTCATCAAAACAACATGATTTGAGCAGGCTCCTTTGTCCTTTCTTCTAAAAGCATTATTTGGCAATTTCAATTGTATTATGACAGCAAAGATGAAATTTCTATTGTCCAGTCCAGTACAGGACTTGTCTGGCCTGCAATATCATTTTGTTGAGAATTATATGAAGGAACTGACTGTACTTGAAATATATTTTAATAGAAAATTACTTTGTTTTTATATTTTTTGGAAGGAATACAAAGCTTGTAAGATGCAGGAGTTCTTTTGAACAAGTTCTTTAAACACATCTGCCTCTGTTTTGATACCATTACAATTCTTCCAATCAATGTTGACACATTTGCAATAGGTGTTTGTTAAGATTGTCATCTCTAATTTATTGCTCTTTTTTTGCCAAACTGCACCTAAACTTCATCAAAGCAAAGCAGCTGCAGCCATAAAACAGTGAAAATATACTCTACACTAAGGGTTTCAGGGTTACCTGCAAAATAGGGTTGGGGAGGCACTAAGAAAACACTTGTGGAAAAGAACAGTGATCATGGCAAGGGAGATGTTTCTCCACAGGTAAAAAAGAATACAGTGGTGATTTTTTGTCTCTGTTAAACATTTGTGCCTTTCACATTGGGTTACTAAGAGCAGTTCTGTTTTTTCTTATTTTTTTTTTTATGTAAGTTGAAAACTGCAGGTTAAAAATGCAAAAGGTAATTTAAGGGCTGATTTATAGTAAGGATCTTGAACATGGGAAGAATAAGAGATAACCTGATTATACTGCTTGGTATTCAATATCTCTAGAATATAAGAAGGAAAGCATAGGAAGAACCAATGGAAAGAAATTGAAGCAAGATTATTTTATACTGGAAATAAAGCACACATTTTTAACAATAAAGGTGATTAAACATGGAAATAAACTGCCATGAAAAGGGATCCTATTTTCATCTCTTCATATCTTCTTTTATTTCATAAAATACAGTTCATTAGATATAACAGATAGTTAAACATATGAAATGTAACAGGAAACAGACAAAATGAGGGTTTGACTATCTACTCCTTCTGCCCTAAATGTTTATGAATTCAGAGGTCCTTATTCAAGGCATATAAAACTTTCTCTGCAATAAGAGTATTGACATGGTTGCAGTACTTTTATATCTGGTTTGCAAAGCTGAAAGAGACAGTAGATTTCAGAGACATTCTGTTATCTAAGTATTAGATGAAGAATTACTGTTGGCAGATCAGTGTTAAAGAAACTTAGCTCATCCACATCAGACAGTGCTGATGATTTGAGGAAAACTGGGGAGAAACCCATTTCTCAGAACACTTTGATTTCTTTGATGATGCTGAAATAGTTGTTAAAGGTGAAAATTTTATCCATGCTACCTCTGTTGGACTACTCTGTTGTCCAGACCACAAAGCACTGAGTAGTTTTTATGTTCATTTCTGTGTGTAGGTTTTTCAGAAAGAGGAAAAAACTGAAAATATACAACAGATATGGGCTCAGTTTATTTTGGATGCAGCAGAAATGTACATATTTTTGATATGAGAGATGGATTCCTTGATGAACCACACTACTCATAATCAGGGCAAGACTCTTACACAATTAAGTAAAAACCTCACAGTGTTATAATTGCATGCTCCCTACTTTGTTTGTGCCTAAAGCTGGCCCAGATGATGAGCTGCAACAGAATGAGATGTTAAATTATCTTGATAACACTATCTAAACCTAGGGAAGGATTGCTTTAGGCACACCTTTGTTCTGTTCACATATCCACCCTGCAAAGTATAAACAGAATAATCAGTCAAAATATAGCAACATGCTGCCCCTAGTCCACATCTTGCTTCAGCTGCTTTTCTGAGTGTAAGCTCCTACAGTGGCCAATTAACAGAAAGACAACATATGAATGATATTACAGCTGGTATATTCTTCTGTACATCAAAATCCTTACTCATCTACTCAATTATTCTTTGCATTCTTATTATCCAATATAAAATTGGAGAAACAAATCTGTAGTCATATTATGTAAGGTTTTAGTTATTTTACTTTTCATATTGCTATAGCTAACCAGCTTCAGGTGAGCTCCCAGCTGGACTGAGCATTGCCCTGAGCCAACTTTGTTAGGAAAGAAAACTCATTATGCTATACAAACAAGAATGTTAAGACATATAGAGGAAACACTGGTCTTATTACTTCTAGATAAAATTTAGCTGTCATTCTTTTTGTCTATGCCTAGTGGGCAGAACAGATATTTCTGAAAATCTCTAGAAGACATTTTGAATGCTCAGAGTAGATTGCTCCAGTTAGCAAATAGAGGAATCTATGTGTGCCAATGCCTACATCACTGTTTAAGAACAGAGTGGTCTTGAGTTTTGATTTTCCAGTATAATCAGAACTGGAATAATTGGAAATCTGCTTGCCTCAACTTGCAGCTTATCCTCTACCTAGGCATTGACGTGGCTAAAGATAAATCTTTAGAAATTCGAAGATGTGGGCTCTTTGGTGCACATGAATTATTGCAGTAATGTAGATTTTCCTTAAATTATTTCTTTGCTTGATTTTAAAAAAATTGGTAGTAAATTTTACAAATTTCCTGTCCCAGGAGCAATAATAAATATATTTTTTAAAATTCTGAGTCTTTTAATATACCTTGTAATAATGTACTTACCAAGAATGGCTACAACAATGTCACTCTTAAGGATTTCAATGGAGCCTCTTGACACAAAATAAAGAGCAGTGAGAACATCTCCACAGTGCACTAAAGTGTCTCCAGGAGGTGCATGTGTTGTCTTAAATTTCATAGCCAAAGCTCGAAGACAGCCTTTACTGGCCCCCCGGAAAGCTTTGCAATTCTGAAGCAAATTTTGGTTGAGGTGCAGACAGATGTCGGCTTGTAAGCATTCTGGAAATCCCTTCAGGACCTGGAAAGACAAGCATAAAGATTTCATGCAAATGCTATGGAAGTTCCTTATATAATTTTTTTTTCTTCCTGGACAAAAATAAAGAAGTGACCTACAAACATGGATCTAAAAGTTGTTAAAATATTAAAATTCAACAAATTCATATTACAAAGCTTCTACAATGTGAATACTCCTATAAATACTAACCCATATAGTGGTTACAAAATGTGCTATTAAGATTTCTTTCATTACAAGAAAAGATATCAGGGTACATGAATGACTATACTTCAGTAAAATAATAAATAAGACAGTGAAAGGGGAAGTCTTGACTGAATTTCACATATTTGGGCTCATATATCTATTTCCTTTTCATCAATTGTCAAAGTACTACATTTATTGTAAGAGAGGTTTTTGCTGAAATAGCCATGATATTTGTACAATGAGAGCTATCTGAAGAAGATCAGATATTTTTCAGAGAGGGCATTTTTATTAGGATTTTTATGTTAAATACTATCTGAATGCAAGTGTAGGACTTCGATTTTTATCAGAAAAAAAGCAACATGACCTTTTGAAACAACAATGCTGTGCAGATTTACATAGCCAGATGATTTGTTCAGGGCTACTCGCAGTGGTCCTTGCTAATCTTTTACTCAGAACAATAGGAGTTTGCCTGAAGTAGAATCATGGGATTCCTCTTGGGTACCATGGCAACATATTAATTTTGTTTAGAAGGAAAGGAGTTATTTACAATGTGGTCATTATGTGTGAGCTTTCCTAAGTTCTGTAGGATAATACACCTTTGATTCTTTTAGAATCTATAAACATTTCTGCTACTGATTTCATGGGAGTGCTGTGAGTAACTCTGCGTGCTGACACATTATGGCACACCACCTTTCTTTGTTATATCGTGTTACCTGCTGTCAGTGACATGATTGGCTCATGTGCTTTTGCTAGGGACAGCTACAGCTGTTGCCTATTACTAAAGGCAAAATATGTACTGCTACATATTTTTGCTACAAGTCTTATGAATATGTGAACAAGATGTGTCTCTTTGTTATTAGATCAGTCTATTATTTCATCTTTGTTTATCATCTGCGCTGTTTTTATATACATTTGTAAACATTTATGCAGAGAAAAGATATATCCAAAATGCATTCACTTGCTGCTATATTGATTTTTACTTCAGCACAAAAAAATCCTGTGCATTCACTCTAATTGCAGAAATATATTCACCACTCATATCCCTTCCTGGTGAAAATGAACATATTTCTCATATGAGTCTTCTGTCCACACAAGCCAAGCTATGTTTTAAAAATGAGATATTAGAAGCTTTAACAGAATTGAAATGGTTCTATGATTGCTAATGGAAATCATTGCTGTGAAATAACAAACAGTGTTGTGACACACATATATAGAACAAATTTTTGAGCCTTATGGCATTACCACATGAAATTTATACATCATCAGAAAAAGCCAGCATTCAACAACACTAAGCAAAAGAAAATATGATAAATGAAAAGCTTCTGTGGCATCACTCTGTTTTAAGTATCTAACACATAACTAGAAATAGCTTAGTATCCAATTATGCTTTTTAATATAATGTAATTATATTGAAATATAAAGTGTAGCTTGTAGGAACTTATTTGCTCAATAATACTGAAAAACTGAGAAACAAATATGTTCACCAAATGAAACAGGAGAAGAAAAATTGTGTTTATTTTTAAATTGTTCTCTAGTCATGTGAGTATAAAATACCTATTTTTAATTAATTTGTTTGCTATGTATGTATCTGAATACAATTTAGATGAGCTCCATTTTTTATAGGATATGAAATAGGAAATGTATTTTGAATTCAGAAGTACTTACAAAAAAGTGTGTTTGAATTGTTAGGAAGTCATGAACACTGAAATTACACTTAGAATAAATAGTTTTCATTTTTCACATCAGCCGTTTATCTGATTTTCAAGGGATTGTATTTTACCATTAAGCAAAACCCATGCAGACAATGTGTGTTAGTTTATATTTCTGAAGATACTTTGTATATTCCCTTATAGAAACAATTGTTTTTATAATTAATTTATATTTGTCATGAAACTGTTCTAAAATATTTGCATATCAGTTGATAGTTATTTAAATGTCAATGACATCTGAAAGATACCAACCTCTTTTCAAGCATGTGTGACTAAAAAAGTCCCTGCTCCATGGAGCTTACACTCTAAAGTAGTTTTATACATCAGAGATGAAAGACATCTACTCTTTAATATCACAGTTTTAAAATGCCTAAAAAGAAGATTAAATAACATTGTTTTCCAATGGAGATTATTCCATTAATACAAGCTTAGAAGTTCAATAAAGAAGCTGATTGGAAAATAAATTTGTTAAAACAATGGCAAAACCTACATTACCAAAAAGAGCTTACCATATTTCACACATTGTGTGTAGTGAGGTGTTCAATCTAAGTCCAGTAGGTGACATAACACAGAATTTGATGTTTCCAGACTAAGTTTTATGCTCTGCAGTACATACATTTTGCCAACACAAACTCTCAAATATTTGTTACATTCATTCTCATATTCTGATTTTCATTACTGAATTTTTTTAAAATTATGTTATAATGTGAGAATCAACATCAACATCAAATTTGTACACACTCTGCCTGTATCAAATATTGAAAAGTCATACATACAGTCTTCAAAATAAAAAAATCAAAAATTATGAAATTAGAACTGCTGTTTAATAATATTATTATTCATTAAAATCCCAAACCAAATAAATAATTTAAATACAAATTTGAGTTTCAATTGTTCCATTGTTTCCTAACATATTTCTATTGTTATACACAATATCTTCTCAGTGCGACTTCACAGGGCCCTGGTGAGAAAAATCTTGGATTCTCATGGTTAGAATCATGTTTGAAATCAGAACTCATGCATAATTCAAGAAATACACACAGATATTTTTAAAAATACATGTAATAAGACATAATATCAGCTTTAGCCCTCATCCCTTGACAAAGAAAAAGTAAAGGAAAATCAGTTAAGATGCTGTGACCACAGGCTCCAGTTGTCTGTCATTGATAGCAAATCCAAGTTCAGTTATCTCTTCCTGTTTGGAATAAAACTTACTTCACATCAAATAACATTGATTTATCTAGGTGGCATGCTTACAGAGGAGGATAATGTCATCCAGAGAGATGTAAAACATTTTACATAGAATAAGTGATTGTTTTGTGAGTATAGTAGGGATATGATTCATACTGCCTTGAAGAATATGGTCTTTTTACGAGGAGAGGGAGTCCAGCTTCATTAATTTCTTTTCTCGGGATGTCAGCAAGGTACCACACATTTATCAGGCACATTAGTGACAACAGATATGGACACATATTTTTGCCTTAATCTCAGGCAACAAGCAACTGTTTGGAGCAAAGATAACCTTGGGTTTTTTTTGATAAATTATAAAATTCATTACAATTTTTAGTTTTTTGATCTGCAGTTCTGGAACAGGTATTGACATATGTCTCACAGAAAATATTTAGAAAGTATTTAACCTGAAGCAAACCGGGATATTAGCTACAATAATTTTCATTAAATATGGAAATACCACATTCCGTACCAACAAAACCACAGAATGAATGAGGTTGGAAATGATCTTGTTGGAAAGATCATGTGGTCCATCCTCCCTGCTCAAGGAGGTGTACCTAGAGCTGGTAGCCAGGGTGATGCTAACATGTCTTTCAAATACCTCCAAGGACAGAGATGCCCCAACCTCTCTGGGCAACCTCTACCAGTGCTCAGTTATCCTCACAGTAAAAATGTGTTTCCTGGTGTTTGGTTAACACCTTCAGTTTCAGTTTGTGACCATTACCTCTGCTCCTGTCACTGGGCACCACTGAAATTAAACTTCTTCCACATTTTTTACACCCTCCCTTCAGGTATTTGTTCACATTGATATGATCCTCTGTGAGCCTTAATTTCTCCCATCTGGCTGAATTCCAGTTCTCTCAGCCTTTCCTACTATGAGAGATTCTCCAGTGCTTGTAGTCTTACAATAACAGATGCTGCTTTAATTCTGCATATAATTTTCTGTCACATATTTTCTCTGCTGAAGTATAGGTGGGATCATTAAATACCAAGCAGATGTTGAAGAGAGCATGAGAGGGCTCTTGTGTTGTGCTGTGTTTGGGGTGTGTTGAAACTAGTGACTGATGCTTTCTTGTCCTAGAACCAGTCAGACTTGTTTAGGAGTGGCAGGTGCCCAGCATATAGAGGGAAAGATAAAGGGAGACTCTCAAGTTCATCTGAGAATTTAAGATGGCATAAACTGAAAGAGGATTCTTGTCCTTCTCCACTTTGTTTGATTATTCCTGCCTTGTCATGATCTCTCCTTGCGAAATGGTTTGAGAAACTGATCCATATAAAAAATTAACACAGCAAAAAATTTGAGCAGCTGAGGGTATAAAGAGGCAGGAGTAAATACACTTTGTGTCTGACCACACATACTTAATATCTATTTGGTTCTCACTTTCATAAGAGAGATCTCAGGCTATGTTGACACGGGCATCACTAAATGCTGAATAAAGTTCTCTAAATATTTGAATAATAAAATTTGAACTTTATATTAAAACCTTTTATTTTTATTAACCTTTCATCTTAGTTTGTTCAGAAAGAATTAGTGAAATTAATTAATATTAATGAATATATTTGGTGAAATAACCTATTATTTAATTTTCATCTTTTTGACAGACACCTAATTTTAAGGCTAACTTGGTACTCTTTAGGTGCACAAATTGCACTGCTTAGATTTTGGATTAGGATCTCTGTCCCCCAATAGCTGTTTCCTCTGATGGAGAATAGTGTAGGATATAGATCCATCACAAACATTTGACTCTTGTAATTGAAGAACATCATCTAGGCTAAACATTTCTGTAATTCAGCAATTTTATTTCTAGAAAGAATTTTGAATTTACTATTCAATATTACCGTGATAATTGATTACATAAATTAATTATTTCTGTAAGTAGAAGGTTGAAACATTTCCAAGCATTTTCAGCATTTAGAAAAGAAAGATCAGGGTCACAGCTGGCAATAATACTGCTCCAGAAGCTTTTGGGCTCCACATAGCAAAAAAATACTTCTGAAAAATCCTCTTTGTACAGAATGATTTTTTTAATGTTCTGTATGTTTCCTTTCAACAACTGGGAGAGAAGAGAAGCAGTATGTCATAATGAGCTAATTCACCTTTCAATTTTATATTGAAGTCTGACAACCTTATCAAGATTAGGATCTTTTTTTTTCAGTCATTGCCACAACACAGATGTGTGACATCTTTATGCTGGAATTAGTAAAGCTGCAGTAGACCATTCTTCTACAGTCCTATTACAGTTAATGGGTACATCTGAAAAGTGATCCCTGCGATACGATAAGTTGCTGAACACAGGCAGATGGAAAATTATTAGAGTTTCTTCACCTATTGATTCCCTTACTGAGAGAAAAGTTTTAAGTCTGTAGAGGTTGAAGATTGATCAGATCTGTATATCATATTTCAAAAAAAAATGATACTTGAAAAATTAAATGCTCTTGTTGAAATTTTAGACTAGAAAATACAATGCACTGAGAAACTGATAAAGCATTATTTAGAAATAGATGGACATCCTTGAGAATATTTTGTTAATAAAGTCTTATTTTCTATAACTCAGTCCAAATGAGGCTATCACATTTTTAAAGTTGTCTTTTTTAGAAAATTAAACAATTATGGCTAATCATAAGGTGCTGTGTGGCTGGTTTATATGTCATGATTTCTGTTCTGACTTATAGGCAAATAGCAGTACCAAGTCCCTGCATGATTACATATTCCCTTGGTTTAAGAATTTACTTCTACGTTTTGTTCCAAACACATCTAATTTGCATTAGTCTTTTGATGGTACAAAGAATTTCTCCTTGCTGTTTTTGAAATTCTAATTTACTTCTCTAATCCTCTGCTTCAAATATATTGATGGCACTGGTTCTATTGCTAAAACTGGTTTTGTTGTAAGAAGTGATCACAGTGGGAGAAAAAGCAAGAACGAAAAAAATGTAGTGATATCAACCAGGTGTCACAGGCAACTTCTTACAAAAGAAGACTGTTCAAGGCAATGGTGAACCTGGTCTTTATTTGCTACTATAGAATTGCTGGTTCAAGATAGGTGTGTGTTCTACTGTACTTGTATGATCAGAGTGGCCAAGACAGTTATCACAACAGTAAAATTAACCATTTACTTGGATGCTTGCAGGAGAAATCATACATTATTCATAATAATTCTGACTTGCTCTCCCCTTTCATGCTATTGGACAAAACTCAAACCAAAAAGACATCTGTCCCACACCCAATTTTTAAATTAATGTTTACACTGAGCTAAATACTTTTCAGCTTGTCTCACTTAGTTACTTCTATGAACTCTTTTCAAATGTAAAATAAACCAGTAAAGCTATTTCAGATGCACAGAAGATCCATGGAAAGAAAGGGTGGGACAGGATTGTAAAAAATACATGCATGACTTAAAAAAAAAATCTCAAACACTAAATAATTGATCTTTTTAGGGTAAGCATCATAGGCATGCTATTATCAGTGCTGGACTGATAATATAGGAATAAAAGAGGAAAAAGAAGGCAAGAAGAATTTAGGGAAACTAGAACAGGATAACTGAAAATATTACAAGAATTGGAATCTTTGGGACTGGTGACAACTTTAATGAAACAATATGCAATATAAACTTTTTTTTTTTTTGTAATTTGACTTTGCCAGTGTATATCACAGGGACATGATTTAAATTATGCTTATTCTATGAACTCAAGATTTTTTATCCAGATTAAAATAAATCCCAAATCCTGTTTATCCAGTCCATGCATAATTATGTGGAACAGTTTGTAACCAAAATACATTATGTAATGAAATATAATCAAAAATATGTAGAAATGGAGCAGAAGGGAGCAAATGAACAAATAAACAAGGTCTCAGCATATTTCACTTGCAGGTCTTTAAAGCTAATTTTAAGTTTAACCTTTTCAAATAAACATACAATATTATCTTCTGGTTTACATTCTAAGGTGTAGAATTTTGTTTAGAAAATCAAGTTTAGTCTTAGTACACAATTACTCCTGAGATTAAGAGGGTTTCTATTTTATATATTTTTTTTATATTTTATTTTACACTTTTCCTGGATTCTTAAATATATTACCGAAGATAACGTAAAGTATTTTTGAAACATATTCTCCATGTTATTTATATATATATATATGTAAGTATATGTGTATATGTTGCATGTACATATATATATATATATATATATATATATATATATATAATGTAAATTATTATGCACTTCATATTTCAAAGGAGAAAGGGAACTACATTTTTGATTTTTTTTTTCAGCTTTCAGATAAAATGAAAAAAAAAAAGAGATATTGGATGAAATTCTGCCTTCAGAATTCACAAAAAAATCCAAGTAGACATGGGTAGGAGTCAAACACATTTGTTTGAGGACAATATTAGTCCTTTGTTCTGTAAATGCAAATATTTCATGCAAAATTAAGTAAAAAAACACATGCAAGTCCAACTCATATGCACATGGCTAATAGCCAAGAAAACTTAATTGGTGCGTGTGTTAACATGCATATATGGTGTAAACCAAGAGCATTCACACAAAAGAAAATGCAGAATGATCAGCAGCATGACAACTTTGTCAGTGACATTCCTACAGAGCAACTATCTAATGCAAACCATTATGCACATGACCTTTTTTGGGTAGAGAAGCATGACTTGAGTTGTGGGGTAAAACAGTGATTAATAAACATGGTTAGATTAGCATTTTTTAATGTCTGATTTTTAGTAACCGTTTTGCCCCACATCTGATTCTGCTTGGATTATTTCCCTTTGCTATCTACCCCTTCATCATGCAAAAATTTACAATTAAAATTAGAAAGCATTGAACAAGCTCTAAACCCAACAGATAACATGGATATTCTTCACACTTTATACTGGAATTAAATTTGATATAAATACCTCCTGCTCTTACCAGTGGGTGGTGTTATTCCATGTATTTAGGTGTGAAGCAGACAGGAAAGAGATAAATCTTTCATAAGTACAATGTAAATCACACAATTCTTATATTATCCTTGTACTAAGTGTAATACATTCAAACTCTTAAAGGAAATAAGGTGACATAAAACTTGAGGGATAGAACTGTGAACAGAATAAGGAATAAAATACAATGAAACAAGATACTAAACTTGAGGGTTTTTCCACACTTTATTAAAAACAAATCCTCCATACTGCCTCACAATCATATTGCAGAATATGGGCTATTTAATCCATGTAATTGTTATTTCACATTCATGAAAAATCCAAGGCTAATTCCCATACACCAGTTTCCAAATTATGCAACTTTTCATGTGACAACATTCAGTTATAGTTACTATTTCATGTGAACCACACCCATTAGTGGTAATGAATTAGTTAAGGCATATATGACTTGATAATATCTTCAGAAATAATTCAGTGAGCTGCTTTAGGCTTAGGTTGTACACACCTGCAGTTTAATGGCCTGATCCTGCAAGGTGCTGAGCACCCCACAATTCCATTGCCATCAGAAGGAATTAGGGCTATTCAGTGCCACACAGGATGAAGCAACTGATGCTGCCTTCCACTGCAGTAATCCCCAGCAGAGGTTTATACAATTGTCCTTGCCCTGCTCTGGACATATTATCCCTCCGGAGGGAACACATGGAAGTAGCAGGTGAAGCCAAATATATTAGTTTTCTATTGTATTTTTAAGATCTGCTTTACTTAATGGTAATCATAAAGTCAAACTGTCAGCGATTCACCATTATAAAAGATTTTAATCAAGACCATTTTTCTGTTTGCTGCATAAAAATGTTGTACTCTGACAGTCATTCAGAAATGTATGTATAGATATCACATGAAAGCTGTTTGAATGTATGTCAAAATTTTGCAAATTGATTTCTTGCTAAATTGTTACAAAAGTGCACAGTGATTTTCTTGTTCTTGACAGCTTTCTGGAGAGTTCTGCAGTTTCTAATCTGCAGCTCTGAATACATCTGGAAAGCATCCCTACAGAGACACAGATTCACAGGTCCTTAAGATGTACAATGCCATCAGGGTCTTCAAACGGATGTTGACTTTTCTGAAAAAATATTTCTATCTCCAGAAAATAAGACAGAGGTATAGATGCTTACTTTTGTTCACTAGCAGTTTGTTATTCTTTTTTAGCTAGCCATGTATTTATAGAAGGAGAGATTACAGGGGATTTTTTATCAAAACCAGAAAAAATGAGTGCTACTCCTTGTCAGTTCCAGAAAAGTTTCTGTAGATGACTAAATGGTTAGTAGTACTGCCTAGATTTTCAGTGCAGAATTACATGGTTGTGAATACAAGTGAATTACTTTTTAGACTATCATGTGATACAAATATTTCCCTTTGAAAAGAGCAGCTAAACCTGCCTGCTCCTCTCCTCAACCCATTCCCAATACATCTGTTCTAGATTACATGGAAGGATTTGGAAAAAGAATTGACCAGCACAGGTTTTATAAAACAGTAGCTCTGTAGATATCAATACAGCTACTCTTGTTTGATACTGGAAGTGGACAATCAGGGCGAAGAACAAACAAAGATCTAGAACACCTATGTCTGAAATAAGAAACCTATATATTTTTTTTACTCTGTTTAAGCTTACAGAAGTCACCTACAGTTCCCAAGCTTTCCTATACACAGTGAGGATATAAATTGCTGATACACCTGGCAGTAACCTAGGCATTGAAATGTTTGTATGACAAACATGTAGTGGCTTGATTGTAAGCAACCGAGGTATATATCCACCTTCTTAAGCTTGTACTTTTACAGCTTATAAATGCTAAAGACTTAAAGTCTCTTTCTAATTTCTCATGCATTTATCTATTGCTCTGCATGTCTGCCTGAAAAACAGAAGAACATACCATATTCATGTCAATGCCATTGGTGTATGTCCACGCATGCTGGAAGTATTCCTCCAGTCGCTGCCGCAGAGGGTTCGGGATCTGATGAAAGCGTATGAACTCCTTCACTCGCAGCATCTGCATGTGGTACCGTGCAGTTCCCGAGTAGAGTCTTTGGATTATTGCGGATACGTTTCCAAAAATGCTAGCGTACATTAATGCTGGATTAAAGACAAACAAAACTTACTTAAGTCATGTCATTGGGCTTTGCAGATGAATACGGCTAAGCAAAAGTTAAGAACAAAGGGAAGAATTAAAAAGGTATGCATATATTTATAGGTTCAATTTAAAATAGAAAAATAAAATATAATAATGATTAGCCAAATCTGATGGGATATAATTTCCTAAATCCACTCCAAACTCACTTTCTTACCTTATACAGGATTTGCCTACAGACACTGATACACAACACAGATATTCTGACAGTTTGGGTAACAGATTTTGAGTAGACAAGCAACTTGATTACTTCCTGACACTGAATGAGTCACAACAAATTTTTGCATACAACATTCCTTTCCCTAGGAAGTTGCCCTTCCGGCTGCATGCTTATAATCTTATTAGTTTAGAATATTAAGCCATTTGCTCAAACATAGAGAGGAAAAAAATATCAAAATCCATGATAAAATTACTTACATCCAATCAACATGACACAGATGGAAAAGATTTTCTCTGAGTTGGTGTTTGGAGACACATTTCCAAATCCTACACTTGTCAGACTGCTGAAGGTAAAATAAAGTGCTGTAACATATTTGTCCTTGATAGATGGTCCAGAGCTTGCATCACTCTTATTGTAATGCTTTCCTAGTTGTTCTCCTAAAGAATCCAACCAACCAATCTTGTGAGCCAAGTAAGGTCTTTCTACATTTCCAATGGCATACCAAATGCAAGCAAGCCAGTGTGCAATTAGTGCAAATATGCACATGAGGAGCATCAGAACTGCAGCACCATATTCGGAGTATCTGTCCAGTTTCCGTGCTACCCTCACCAAACGCAGCAGTCTAGCTGTCTTCAGAAGGCCTATTAATGTAGTTGTCTGTAAAAATAAGATAGAAATTAATTTTCTCTGCAGGCAAATGTACTCTCATGAATAGTAAGCATGAATAAACCACTACAAATTCAATTTTTCTGGGGAATCAACACAAAAAGTAGAAGAACCCATTTCAATGTAAATTTAATCTTATTTTCTTTAAGCTATCAATTTAATTATAAAATTAGGGAAGAAAAAAAAATCTACATTTAAAATCAAGATATATTGAAATTGTCATTATGTACTAAATACCCTTTCATGTTGAATATTTTACTTGATCTGGTCTCTTTAGTTGACCATAATGGATTTAAATCCATTATGATCCAATAGCTTAATGATTTTTTAACATGATAAAGTGTGTAAATTATTTGAACTACTCATAATTATATGGCTGTCCACACAGATAATAAGTATTCGTGAAGAAAGTTGTATGACTGTATTTGATCCTGACTTAGAAACTGCTTACGATGCTCTGACACACATATTATAGAAAAGAGAAGTAATAGGGCAGAAGTGTTCCAAAGAGTATATCTACAAGATTCCTCCTGTTTGTAATGGTAAAAGCATTCATACAGATGAAAGAAGATAAAGCGCTGTGAACAGAACATCATGGAAAAATCCAGATGAATCTTTTTGCATCTTGTAAGTGTGGTGTCAAAAGTCAGTAATAAAAGTACTACACCATTAGAAAAATAAACTGGAGAAGTTTAAAGCAGGAATGTATTTCAAAATTTTTAGTGCAGACGTGTTATTATCCATTGCAGCCTCTTTGAGGCTTTGACCTTTTTAAAGGGACCTAGAGGTGATTAATATAAGTTTAAAGTTTCAATTAGTAAATAATTTTTATTTTTTTTAATTCCTTGTAGAAGAAATTTTTTTCATTATTAAGAGGAACAATTTTTTTAAAAATACCTAAGATACCTTTTT